ATTGCAGGTCTGGTCCTCAGTCTGAAGTCTAGCGCTCCCCAATAATTAGCATTTTAAATAAAGTAGATGATGAGCGTTCACAGGGCCCGCATCGGAAAACTTCATAGGAACGAGAACATCCATGCGAACACCTGTAAGAAGCAGGTTTTGCTGCCGAGTTAGAGAAGTGACTTGCTAAAGGGCAGAAACCTGATGGTCATCCGCCTGCAGCTTTGGTTCCTGACTTCCAGGCTTGTCATCTTAGCGAAACCCTGCAGCAGTCTCTATTTGTCCCACTGCTCTAGAGCTACCGAAGCCCGCTACCTGCACGCGCCATTGCCACCAGTCCTGTCCCCCGTCCGATGAAAAAATCAACTTACCATGACTTGTCCGTTAGCCACTCTTGCTGTACTTCAAAGAAAATTTGGTCCTTTTGAACTGCTTCTTGCACGGGGAGGCTTTCTCATGACGTTTGCCCTCAGGCTTGTAGGTCTATCGCTGTGGCTTTAGGCTAGCCATAACTCCCAGTGAGATCATTAGCAGGATCAAAGACGAGAAAATGCTGAGCTGTTGCTGGAAATTTTGGAATTCTTTCGCATTTGAGGAAAATTGGATGAGTCATACGGGTCAAGGCGGGAGAGCACTCCTAGACATGTGTGGTCAGACCCATGGCGGATTTCGTCACCCTCGGGAAACCGGGGTGAGACGTAGACTCAGGGCTCGTGAGCAAAAGGGTCGGGAAGCGCCGGGCCTGGCCTAGGAGTGGGTGGGAGGACGCGTTCGGCCTCAAAGCGCAGCTCCTCCTACTTGGAGGCAGAGACGGAGGTGCTGCACGGTTCTGTGTTAATCAGCTCTATGTAGTTAAACGAGGTGCTGATTTTTGGTTTGCTTTGTTTTTTTTTTTTCCTGGCTGTTGCAAGTTCTTCTTTTCAGCAGTGCTCCTCATGCCCGTCTCTGCTTTCCCCGTTCTGGCGCCCGTGCGCGTGTGTTTTCTGCGCTGAGGCAGAAAGCGTGCCCCTTCCATGGCATCGCTCGGCCGCGGGCCGGATTCTGCCCGCCTCAGCAGCCCGCTGACTTCCCTTCTCACCCGCGCGAAGCTGGGCGCGCGGAAGCCCTTGCAGGCTTGGGGGGGTCAAAGCGCTGCGAGGCCGCTCCATCAACGCGCTGCGCTGTGTTTACAGCGAGGCAGAGGCGTTAGCCTGCCGCAGCGGCTGCCCCCCTCCCGCGACGCGGCGAGGCTTCCGTAGCTAAAAGGTGTGATTTTTTTTTTTTTTTTTTTAAATCTTCCAGGATGTGCTTGTTGCTTTTGAAGTCTCGCTAAGAGAATTGCGGTCGAAAGCCTCAGGGGATGGTGCAGCGGTAGGGAGAGAGAGCAGCGAAGGATGCTCTGACCGCGACTGCCGGCTCTCGAGGAGCAGCCTTGGGCTTTGCACTTCTCCGTCTGCAGCCTCTGCTGCCTAACTGTGTTTTGGAGTGAAGTGCGGAGGACTTTGCCCCAAAAAGGGCTGCAGAGCCCGTGTGCCAGGAGCACCAAGGTGCCCCCGTGCCAGCTTGCTTCGTTTACCTTCGGGGCCAGGTTTGGCCTCTCCATCCCAAGAGAAACGTGTTCATGGCTTCGCATCGCCCCCGCAACTCATGTCGGGGAGCAGGTTTGGGGCTGGTTAATCAGTGGGAGCCGGGTGCGAGCCGGAAGTCGCTGCTCGACCTGGCCTTAGTGGCTCTCTTCCCTCTCTGCTACCCTGTCCTGCTGCTCTCTCCTCCCTTGCTCAGCGCCCCGCTTCCGGGTGGGAGAGCTGCCGAACTCGCTGGAGCTGGTGGAGGAGCGGCTCGGCGACGCGGGGAGGAGGCGGGCCAAGAGGGACGACTACAACATCGAGGTCCTGCTGGCGGTGGATGATTCGGTCGTGCGCTTCCACGGGAAGGAGCACGTCCAGAACTACGTCCTCACCCTCATGAACATAGTAAGGCTTTCTCGGTTGTTTTTTTTTTTTTTTGGGGGGGGACGGGACTGTCTTCCCAGAGCGCAGCTTGAAGGATGCTGGTGGGAGCAAGGTACAACCGGGGAGGGACGTCGCTCCCGCACGTGGCGGCGTGTTTGATCGCCCGCGGCGGTCTGGCAGCGTGGACCCGCTCTGAACGTGCGTTCGAGGCACGTTTCCGTGCGCCTGTTAACAGAGAGCAGGTAGGTTTCTTGGGTGAAGGCTCCGGCTCTGGTTTTTTTTCCACGCCGGGGTCGGAAAGGGAGATGGGGAAGACGTGTGCACCCTCTCTCCGATTTGTTTGCATCCCATTTCCCCGTCTTTTATGGATACTTGCCCCCAGTGTCACCTGCGTTCAAGAGCACCTTCTGCTTCTCCTGGGCAAGGTCATCTCCTCCTCATTGCTGAAATCCCAGCAAATCCTGGGAAAGCTGCGTTTTTTGGAGAACAATCCTTTCCACTAATTTATTTTGAAAGGTTCCTGTCTCTGGACAAGGGAGACTTTCAGCGTCTCCTCCGTTGACCAGAAAAGCTGTGGACCTTGAGCTGGAAGATTAGTCAGATGTTTGTGAAAGCTGAGTTTATAGCAAGGACGGAGCTCAAGGCCTTGCTTCTGGCAGTCCTGGATATCCTGCAGTTTTTGGAGAACAATCCTTTCCACTAATTTATTTTGAAAGGTTCCTGTCTCTGGACAAGGGAGACTTTCAGCGTCTCCTCCGTTGACCAGAAAAGCTGTGGACCTTGAGCTGGAAGATTAGTCAGATGTTTGTGAAAGCTGAGTTTATAGCAAGGACGGAGCTCAAGGCCTTGCTTCTGGCAGTCCTGGATATCCTGCAGCGCCGCCGGGCAGCCCGTTCTCAT